TATATTTATTTTTATTTTAACGATCACATAGTTACCATATGGTAACCGTACGTGTTACAGACAGACAGACAGACAGACAGACAGACAGACAGACAGACAGACAGACAGACAGACAGACAGACAGACCGACAGACAGACAGACACAGGCGAATTTCCGTTTCTAGACCCTATACTTTCAGTCTAGGGAATATACTTTCAGTCTAGGGAATATTTTCACTTATCAAAGAATGAAAAAAGAATGCGATATCGTATTACTCAGGAATGGATAAATAATCTTTATAATTAACGTGATATCTTAATCTTTCTTCCTTTTTAGTGATAGGTTTTGCTTACTATATTAAGATTTAAAGGATTACTATTATCCATTTACTCGTTGTTGTAGTATAAAATAAACAGGTAATTAAATTAGAGTTGTCTTAATCATGTAGAAAAATAAATTCATATGAAACGATTGAATATTATAAAATGTTGTTTGAAAAAAGTCAATATAATATCAACTAGTGATTATTCTATTATGAAAAACTATTCGATGCAATTTATGCTACAAACTTTTTCTAAAACCATATCATCTTCTGAGAGTATCATTGTATCAAATAAAAGAAAAAAACTTTCGTTTCGTCTTATTGAAATAATCACAGAGAATATTATTTGTAAAAATGATCTATTGTATCATTGAAATTTTGATAGGAAAATATATAGTGAGAATAGGTCTAAAACAATGATGAAGGCTTATTATGAAGAACATTTTAACACTTCTCATTGCTTTAATGTCGAGTATAGGTAGTAGATACTGTAGAAGAGCGCAGTACTACTTGTTAAGAATATAACAATAACATCATTTTTCAAATTACGACTTTTTATCAAGAGCAGTTAAAGAGAAAATAGTAGTTTAAGCATGTATTTTCTTTCAAAATAATTTCATATTAGAACATTTTCAAAGATTTCAGCTAGCATTTTCTTATGTGGTTTCAAACGCTTAAAATGTTTCAGTAAGCATCAAATATCTATATAGGATATTCAGAATAGAATTTTCAAAATGTGCTTCAGATCTCTGTTATTATCCGATAAGTCTATAAAAATAAGTTGATGCATATAATAAGAATATTCAACTCTATCAAACGATTAAAACATTCCATAGAACAGAGTTATGTTTTTGCAACTTTTTAGGGAAATTCTCATATATTTGAAAAAGTGAATTTTGAGAAAGAATTATGGATAAGGGTGTGGGTGTGGGTGTGGGTGTGTGAGGGTGTGGGTGTGGGGTGTGGGGTGTGGGGTGTGGGTGTGGGTGTGGGTGGATGTGGATGTGGGTGTGGATGTGGGTGGATGTGGGTGTGGGTGTGGGTGTGGGTGTGGGTGTGGATGTGGATGTGGGTGGATGTGGGTGTGGATGTGGGTGGATGTGGGTGTGGGTGTGGGTGCGGGTGTGGGTGTGTGTGTGGGTGCGGGTGTGGGTGTGTGTGTGGATGAGGGTGTGGGTGGGTGTGGGTGTGAATGAGGGTGTTGTACTTTTCACCCACACCCACACCCCACACCCACACCCACACCCACTCCCACATTCACACCCACACCCACACCCACACCCACACCCGTCTGAATAGGAGAAAAGTGCATTCGTATCAAACGAAACAACTAGATGACCTGATGGAAAGAAAAGAAAAAAACATCAATATCTTATGGTCCAATCAATTTATAAATGAAAGAGCAGAAATATTTCTGTAGGGATATCCCCGTTTCGGTCCGAATCGATCCCTCTTCGTTTCGGTCCGAATCGATCCCTCTTCGTTTCGGTCCCATTCTATGAACTCTCACTTCGGTCCTTTCTCAAATCGGTCCCATTTGATGATGTCTCACTTGGGTCTCTTCTCGGTTCGGTCCTTTTCAATTGATTCTCACTTGGATCCATTTTCTGTTTGGTCATTTCTCATGCAATGAAGAAGAATATTATAAATAGTCACGCGTCTCCTTGAACAACCATTTACTAAACTCCTTCACGATTGATCATTGGCCAGGAAAAATCCAGAGAATAATTTATTCTAAACTAACTGACGCCTCAGTGATCATTGTTTAAGAAATATCGAATTCGAAAGATGAACGATAAGTCTATCGAATTTACAACAACTAATCGAAATGGACTTGTACTTCACTACCAAGGTTATCAATATACATTTAAACGTAAATATAAAAATACTAACGAATGGCGGTGTAGACGAAGACCGTGCACAACTTCAATATCATTATGCTGGGATAACAGATCAATTATTAGAGAACCTGATCAACATACTTGTGGTTCTTCATCGCCAGAAAATATTATTGTTGAAAAAGCTGTATCCCGTATGAGACAACGAGCAGCTGTAGAAACTTTACCAATTTCCCAAATATATTCACAAGAAGTCGTAAAAACTCTCATTGATAATCCTGATTTGGATACTGGCTCAATTTTTCCATTATTGGATAGTATTGATTCAACTTTATATCGTCAACGTGCTAAAAATTATCCAAATATACCAAAAAATATTCATGATCTTATGATTCCAGATGTTTGGAAAGTCGGTTCTCATGGCGAACCTTTTCTTTTGGTCGACGAGATTTGTATGGAATCTTTTTTTTTAATTTAAAATATTTTACTTGTATTATAGATGGTGAAGATCGGCTTCTTCTATTTGCTTCAGATTGGAGCTTAAAGTTCTTAAGTTCTTGTAGTCAATGGCATTCGGATGGTACATACAAATGTCGTCCTTTGCTATTTGCACAACTTTATGTTGTATTCAATTTTAATAACATGATGATACCATCTGTCTATTGCTTGACAACCAAACAAGATGAACATGTTTACATGAAAATATTGCACCATTTATTAAGTATTGCTCGACAAACAGAAATTATACTTAATCCAAAACGTTTAACATGTGATTATAAACTATCAGCAATTAACTCATTTAAAAAAGTTTTTCCTGCAATACACGTTTCCAGATGCTTTTTTCATTTTTCTCAATCGCTTTGGCGAAAAATCCAAGAATTAGGCCTCACTCGTTACGTTAAATATTCAAATTTAAAAGTTTCAAACACAAACATTGCTGAAGAAAAAGAAGGCTAGTAAATGGTTTTTATGTGCTATAGGTCTAGCTTTAATTCCAAGACATTTAGTTGAAAAAACATGGACCGAAGCCATGGATGAATACACACCTAATCATGTTGCAAGTATTAAATTTAACGATTATATGGTTTCTACCTACGTCGATTGTATCTCATCACGTTTTCGACTTAATTTATGGAATGTTAATGATGCTCTTGTCAACAATATTCCAAGAACAAATAACCACGTGGAGGGTTATAATAATCGACTAGGCTCATTATTTCCTGTCCATCCTCATATTTTTAGATTTATCGAACTATTAAGACATGAACACTTCTTTCAGCATCATCATGCCGAACAATCGAAATCTTATTTACCAAAACGACCAAAATCAAGTGAAAATATTAATATTAAACTTATCGATCTACTCGATCAACATAGTAATGGTGAACTGACAGATTTAGAATTAGCACTTCATTGTGGTAAAATAGTCAAGACTAAATTAGTAAAAAAATATAAGTGAAAATAATTTAATTTTTTGAATGTTCATAACATATTCATATGTGATATAATCATGGATATTTTTCTCTTGTTATTTTTTCTTGTATAAGGTATTTTTGTGTATGTTAAATAAAAATATGAATCATCAGAACTGATTATATTGTAGGACCGAAATAAGAATCAATTAAAAAGGACCGAGCAGAGAAGGGATCCAAGTGAGATATCATCAAATGGGACCAAATTGAGAAAGGACCGAAGTGAGAGATCATCAATTTGGACGAAAACAGAAAGGGACCGATTCGAATCGAATCGGGGGTGAACCGTTTCTGTTACTTTTTCTCACAAAAATTGTCTTTTCTTCTGACAAGACATACATTATTTTTTTTATCCGAACAGAATATACGTCGATGCCATGGTGTG